TTCAGTTTTTTTGGCTCTTCAAGAACATTGTTCATGGCTGTTGTGCCTTGGCATGCTATAAATGTTCAATTATGTCAGAAACCTGAGATTTGGTCTTATGCTGAGCATATGCTACTGCTAGTGAATGGGTTAAGCTTTGTGTTGCTGTTCTTTTGCATAACCTAAAGTAAATAAGGAAAACCAGCTGTTAAATAGTTTAATTCCACTATTTATCCTCCACACAAAAAAAAGGGACCTCTCAATGCAGTGCCAAATCAGACAAACCATTTCTAACTTAATATAGGCTTGAGCTATAGATGGGCAGAGTTGCACAACAATCTCATCTGTCATTGAGACATTTCTATAAGCATGGGGAGGAGGTGGATGAAAGGAAATGTAAAATATAGGTAGCGTGGTATAGGTCTTATCACTGGCTGATAATGGTCTATATGTACTTCAATTAAATTTATGGTACATAAATTTATGGTACATAAACTAGAGTACACAAACCTTTAAGTCTTTCCATTTGTTAATGACAGTGGTAATGGTTCTTAATGCCACTGTTGACTGCTGTTCACTTTACATGGTTCAAATGTTATTCTGTTATGGTTTATTAAATATTTTATTACACTATTTGGTTCAGAATATATTTTCCCTGTTTTCCTCCTCTAAGGAGGAGCAAAAATTACAGTATTTATATTTACACTTTTAAATTTGCTACCATCATGTTGTCACGTTAACACTCCATAGTTGTTATTTCTAGAGGCCTTGTGGCACTGTGGTTAAACTGCTGTACTGCAGTCTAAACTCTGGCCATGACCCAGGCTCAATCCTAGGTAACTCGCTCGAGGTTCATTCACCTTCCATCCGCCCGAGGATGGTAAATTCAGTACCCAGCTTGCTGGGGGGGGTATATGAAGTCTGCATAATTAAACTGTAAACCACCCAAAGAGTGCTTTAAGTACTATGGGGTGTCATACAAGCAGCAAGCTTTGTGGGTTTTTTTAAATTGCAATGTTACTTGTAGTTGAAAATTGCAATGTTACTGGTAGTTGAATAACTCTACAATGAAGATTAAAGTTATGTAACTATGGTTATTTTTATTATAGAATCATAGAATACAGTGGGGTCTTGACTTGCGAACGGCTCGAGGTACGAACTTTTTGAGTTACGTACTTCTCCGTCCGCAAAAATCCATTTTGACTTGCGGATGGAGAATTGAGGTATGTACCAAAAAGTTTTTAAAAAGCGGGAAAGCACCTGGAGCCGGTTGGCGGTGACGCAGCGAGAGGCGGAGACGCGGCGGTGCTGCTCCTGCTCTGGGATTGGGGCGCCTCGGGGCGTTCTGGCTGCCAGAATTCCAGACTGGCCGGGGCCTCCGCCTTCCTGGGTGGGCCCCGCTGAGCCGAGCTCTGGCGGTGGCGGCAAAAGGCAGCGGCGAGGACGGTGGAGGCGCCTCCGAGCACCCCGGTGAGCCCGCGCGGGAGGGCGGGAGCGAGTTCGCGGGATGGCACTGGCGCTGGGAGGGCTCCGTGCCGGGGAACTAGGCGGGCGCGGGCGGCGGGTGATGGGAACAGGGGCTGGAGAAGGAGANNNAGAAGGAGAGTGAGGTGGGCCGGAATCTGGCTGGGGCTGGAAACGGGGGCTGGGCGGGGAGGGAGGGAGTGCCGCGGGGGCCGCGGGGAGCCTTGATGGCCGGGCACCGTGTGCTGCTGCTGCTCCCATCTCCACCCGGCCCATTCCCCCGGAGCTGGGAGGAAATGGCCGGGCTGCCTGTTTCGCCTTCCTGGGATTACAAAATATTCCCCTCTAGTGGTAGAAGGTGGAATAGCAACTTCCCATTACTTTCTATGGACGGTATAGAGCAGATACGGATTACAATGGTTTTCAATGCATTCCTATGGGAATGCAGATTTTGACCTGCAAACTTTTTGACCTGCGAACCGCCTTCCAATACGGATTAAGTTCGCAAGTCAAGACCCCACTGTACTGAAGTTGGAAGGGGCATATAAGGCCATCAGTACCCCCTGTTCAATGCAGGAATACAAATCAAAGGATATCTGCCAAGTGGTTGTCTAAGTTTCTCTTGAATGCCTCCAGTGTTGGAGCACTCACCACCTCATGAGGTAATTGGTTCCATTGCTGTGCTGCTCCAACACTTAGGAAGTGTCACATTCCCACCTGTCACTTGGTTGTTTCACCAAGCAAAGGGCACAAGCTACGTGTCATGTTGCCACTACCAGTTGATCACATCAACATTAATTATTAATCACAAAGGTCCAGGCAATGTGTCATTTTAAAAAGAACCAAATAGTTGTTTATTATTACAGGTGATGAAGGTACAATTAATGTTGTTAACTCTTAACAAAACATCCTACTTCTTCCACTCTCAACTGCCACTCTCTCTCTCTCTCTCTCTCTCTCTCTCTCTCTCTCCACCCCAAATTCCAGAACCACCAATCCTCAAATCTAAAACTCTCAATCTCTCCTTCTCCTGCAGAGACTCTTATATCTTGTGACTCTGCCTCTCCAGCACTCTCATAGGTCCATGCAGACAGCACATTAATATTCATGATCTGGGCAGATGCCACAAGGTTTTCCTGATATACAACTGAAATCTGGCTTCCTGTAACCTGAGCCCATTGTTGCGTGTCCTGCACTCTGGGATGACTGAGAATAGATCCTGCCCTCCTCTGTATTACAGCCTTTTAAATATTTGAAAAGTGCTATCGTATCACCCCTCAGTCTTCTTTTCTCAAGGCTAAACATGCCCAGTTCTTTTAGTCTTTCCTCATAGGGCTTGGTTACCAGTCCCCTGATCATCCTTGTTGCCCTCCTCTGAACTTGTCCCAAAAGGTTTTTGTGTTGTGATTTTCTTTTTAAAAGCAACACTGTTTTACCCCAGAGCAGAACCAAGCGATCACAGAAGCCAGATTGCTAACTGGGGCTGGTCACTATAAACCCATTTATGTATCTGGATCAATATGTTTAATATTGGTTTTTCATATAGTTATTATTTCCAGTGCTTTTTAAAGTGTTATTATTTCACTGTGTTTTGAACCACCCAGAGTGGAAGGAAGGAAGGCCTAAATCGTTTGGACTCAGGTTATCTCAAGGACCATATCTTCCTTTATGAGCCTGCTCAAGTGATAAGATAATCAGGAGAGGCCTTGTTCTCAGTATTGCTACCTTCACAGGTGTGTTTAGTGGGGACACAGGAGAGGGTCTTCACTGTTACAGCTCCCAGTCTTTTGAACTGACTTCCATAGGAGGCTAGACTAGCTCCATCTTTACTGTCCTTCTGCAAGCAGGCAAAGACCTTTCTCTTCGGGCAAGCTCAGTGGTGTTTTAAATAGATTGTTGTACCTTAACGCTTTGAATGTATTTTGGTGTTGCTAATGTTTTTTCATATGCCATTTGTTTGATCCTTTTGTATTTTTATGCTCACCATTGTTAACATTAAAGACTATCTTTTAATGATATAGGCTGACTTGGGTCCTTTTTAAGAAGAAAGGCAGGTAAAATATCTCAAATAGATAAATAAATACATAATAGACATTTTAGAGGTTATTAATTCATAAGATCACCATGAGCCAGAAGTGACCTGATGGCACATAACAATATTTATAGGTAGACTTCAATAATTTACTCACATTTCTTAAATGAACATAGTGGTGGTTTTAATGGCAGGTACATAGTAATACATGAAAGAATAGTCTTAACAATCCATATTCTTTTCTTAACAAATTATGACTATCAAGCTTTCAGATAACAATCAACATGATTGTTCTGACCTATAACCCCCTAAAAAACTTTAATGCTATGGGCAAAATCCTCTTGCACAACTTTTTTTGCAGTTGGGATGATATCATCATCCAGTGCTGAAATATTCCACTTACATTAATTGGACGTTTCTTTTCCCCTACTTTCAGGTTCTGAGGATCCCTAGGTCTCCCTCCTGACCTGGCTATGGGTGCAGAGAAGCCTTTAAAAGTAAAAAAATCATTTGCCAGACCACTGCCAGGGGCCCCAATTCCAGTGGTGGTAATCTGGCACTGATTTTTTACTATTAAATGCTCCATCTCTCAAATATCCAAAGGCAAAAGGTAGCCCTAAGAAGCCTCAAAACTGAGAAGGGAAGGGGATGAGAAGCTTTCAATTAATTTAAATCAACACTATGTAGCATAAATTTACAATAGGATTTTGCCAATGCATCGTAAACATCTATTCCTTCCTTATTACTCTTATGATAGATAAAATACTACAAGTACACTTGCTTAGTAATATGCATGCAAAAGGAAAGAATACCAAGAAATATAAACTAATATTCTGTGAAACTGCTCGACTAAGCACCTCATTTTCCTTGAATGTGTTCCACAAGTAAATCATCTTCAGTGCTCAGTTTAAAAAAAACTCTTATTATTTGACTGGCATTTGTAACTAGGATCATATAGGTTGTGACAGTATTCTTTAAAATGTCTATTGTTTTATTTTTATTTAGATTAATGATACAAAGTAACAACATTGAAGCATCCAGGGGAGAATTAAATAAAAATTCTAATGGATAAAATAAATAACTGACTTTTCATTCTGTAATTAATTCTGAAGATAAAATAATACTAGTTGTATAGAACTTCTAACTCAGCATTTCCATTAATTACAAACTTTTATCTCTTGAACTCAATTTCTTATATTCATGTTTGGAAAGAGTGGGCATCCTCACAAACAGGATCAAGTAATAAATATTCATCTCAAGAATCCTACAAAGAATTGAACCTTTAAATAATTTCATTAAATTAACAATCCTTTATTCAGTGTTTAATAAGGTAAAACTTCCTACTCCCTACAGTTATTTTAACAAGTCTTTGGCAGATAATAAAAACATTCTTCGATCAAGCTTCCAGAATTATAAGTAGCATCAACAGTTATTAAAATTGTTATTATCTAAGTCCCAGAGCAAAATGTCAAGCTTTGCCAACCTCATTTTGACACAAATACACAAGACAATAAAGCTTCCCTACCTTGTGTTTTTTCACAGCTCTAGCACTGATGCAATCCAAGAAATCTCTGTTGCAAAGGGTATGATCTGCTAGTGTATGAGTTGCTCTTTTCAATTTTTCTTGCAAAAGCTTTATTTCAGACTTTTGTGGTGTTATGAGGTGTTCTAGCTTCCTTGAAGAACAATGATGGAAATCCTAGAAAACAAAATATACACAGTTGAGCATAAAGGACAATGTGGAGTGATGCCATAGATTTTCTTTCCCATAGTCAACTATGTCTGGGAACAAAAGGGACCCAATGAACATTCATTATCTTTGTAGTAAAAGTGAAAGGAAGAACATCAGGTGTATATCAATATGTGCAGATGCCACAAATGGGCATAAAGCAATGCTGATTGACACATTTATCTCAGTTGTAATCACAGTTCTTTAAAATATGTTCATGATGATTTGGACTGTTACTACCAAATTTCTACATCCTCCCTGTCCTAAGGACAGACAACAGTATGGTAATTATTAAATACCACAATAAATTTATTACATCTCAATTGTTGAATAGAATGATCTACTAATAGATCAGATTTCAAATAGAAAAAAAAAGCCACAATCAGCAATACAACCTTGCTCAAGTACTGGTGCAATGATTGGAAAATGCTGTTAACTCTTGGTAAATAAGGGCCACATAACAGGACTTCTGATGTCAATCAAAGAAGACAGGAAAAACTAGGGATATGACAAGTACCCACTTTTTTTTTTGCCTTTTCACCCTGCCGAGATATGGCCAACCACACTAAGAATCTGACTACACCGGGGAGGGGGGGATGCAGAAATACAATGGAATTGGAGCAGGCTGATTCACATTTTTCCCATTTATCACATGATGCAATGGGAAATGCAAATCAGCCAGGAGTCCCATGGCCTCAATCAGTAATTTTTCCTTCCCAGCATACACCCATCTACATTTTAAAAGTCAAATCCTTTTGCTTCAGTTCAAAGCATGTGATCATTTTGTCATGTTCCCACTAGGCCCTTCATTGTTTCACCAAGCAAAGGCACAAGCTTTGTGTCTTTCAGCTGCCACCAGTTGATTACATCAACTTTGTTCACTATTAATGACAGAGGTCCAGGCAACATATCATTTAAGAACCAAGTAGAAACTGTTTATTGTTACAGGTGATAAAAGTCTAGTCAATGTCATTAACTCTCAATTAAACAACATTCTTTCTCCACTCTCAACCACCTCTCTCTCTCCTCCTTTTCTTCCTCCCCTTAACTCCACCCCCACCCACTCCTATTGCTGCATGCAAATCTGACAATATAAATATTCATGAGCAGGGTGAACACTATATCCCTCCCCCCTAAATCAGTTTGTTTTAGGAGGGGAAACTTAATGGTTTGCCCTCATAAACAAACAAAGGTTCATGGAAGAATGCAAATATTAACCTCTTACATTATTAAGTATACATATTATTATATTTTTACTACCACTGTACTACCTCTTAGTTTATAAATATCCAAGCAAAGTTTGCACTTTAAGCATATCCCATAACTATTACACAAAAAGAACAGTTAATATTGAGCTCAGATTTTTAAAAAGAGAATTTTTCCTTAGTCATCTGGCCTTCTAGACAAAGCATCCATGACCACATTCTCAGATCCTTTTACACTGTGGATTTCAAAATCAAAGTCTTGCCAAGTCGGTGCCCATCTCATGAGTTTGCTGCTATTAGACTTCATAGGGGAATGGTTGGTGCAGAGGACAAATTTCCTTCCTCAAATGTAGGGCTTCAGCTTTTGCAGCATCCATATGATAGCTAGACACTCTTTTTCGATAGTGGATAAATGTCTCTCACCCGGCTGGAGTTTCTTGCTTACAAAAGCCACTGGATATAGACTCCAACTGTCGCCTATTTGGTATTGCACGGCTCTCAGTCCCATGTTTGACACATCCGTGTAAATGATGAATTCATGGTCGAACGGACAGGTTCTGAAGTCAGACGATTGAAGGCTACCTGGCACTCTGATGTCCCCTGGATGTGCTTGCCTTGCTTCTTTCAGGTTAAGTTTGTTAACGGAGCAACAATTTCGCTAAATTTCAGGACAAAACGTCGATAATATCAAGCTAACCAAAGGAACACTCAGATATTCTTTTCTGAAGTCGGGGTGGGCCAAGTATCAATAAATTCTATCTTTGCATCTAGGGGGTTGATCATCCCCCCCTCTGACTAGATGCCCTAAGTACCTTATTTCTCTTTCAGGTTAAGTTTGTTAACGGAGCAACAATTTCGCTAAATTTCAGGACAAAACGTCGATAATATCAAGCTAACCAAAGGAACACTCAGATATTCTTTTCTGAAGTCGGGGTGGGCCAAGTATCAATAAATTCTATCTTTGCATCTAGGGGGTTGATCATCCCCCCCTCTGACTAGATGCCCTAAGTACCTTATTTCACAGTTCCCAATTTGACATTTGGCCACTTTCACTGCCAAACCAGCATCACACAACTTTTACAACACAACCTTTAGATGGGATTTATGTTCCTCCCAGGTCTGGCGAAAAATACCAATGTCATCCATGTATGCCATAGTGAACTCTCTTAGGCCATACAGGGTTTTTTCTACCAGCCTTTGAAGAACATAACTATCATTCATTTTGGAGACCACTATGTACGGTCCAATCCACACTAACTGCAAATTATTTCCTTTTGTGGGTCTCAACATTAATACTTCTTCTCCAGGACCGAATGTTCTTTCTCAGGCTTTTTTCTCATACCAACTTATCTGTCTACCTTGGGCTCCCTTTAAGTTTTCCCCAGCTATCTCTAGGGATCTTTGTAAGGCGTTCATTAAATTATCCATGTATTCTACAATCGACTCAGGGTCCCTTTCTTTATAACCTTCCCAGTTCTGTCATAAGAAATCTAAAGGCCCTCTTACTTTATGACCAAACAAAAGTTCAAAAGGACTAAAACCTGTGCTTTCTTGGGAATATCTCAATAAGCATATAGCAGTGGTTGTAATTTATTATCCCAATCATTTGGGTTCTCTGCCACATACGCACGTATCATTCTCATTAAAGTTTCATTAAATTTTTCCACTAACCCATTTGTTTGGGGGTAGTAAGGAAACAATGTCACATGAGAAATTCCACAGACCTGCCATAGTCTCTTCTTTAATTTGGAAGTAAAGGAAGTTCCTAAATCTATTATTTCTGATGTGAAATCCATTCCGCACATATAACTAATTAATGCATCCACCACAGTTTCAGTCTCTGTTTCTTAGAGGGATTGCTTCTGGGTATCTGGTGGCAAAATCAATAATGGATAAAATATACTTATTTCCTTGTCTAGTCACACTGGGTAGGGATCCCACTAGGTCCAGACCTAAACATTGGGAAGGGGTCGAGATAACAGGCAATGGGCATTGTTTAGCTCTAGTTTTGTCATTTCCAGTACCTCGCTTCTGGCAAGTACCACAGGTTTGGCAATAATGCCTATTTGCAGCCCCATCCCTGGCCAAACAAAATTCTGTGTGGCCCTTTGCTTAGTGTGAGAGATGCCCATGTGTGCTCCAAATACATCTTTGTGTGCTTTTTTCAGAATCTTTTCTTGGTATTTCACAGGGACAATTAGCTGTTTGTGGGGCCCTTCTCCATTCCTACAAGGTATAATTAAAACCTCCATATACAATAGTTCTTGGTCCACACAATACCCATCTGGATGTTCAGGGGACAGTGGAATGGGATTCTCCTTAACTTTTTGAAAGCAATCATTTAAGGTGCTATCTTCCTTTTGTTCCTTAATAAAGGAGGAATTATTAGGATTTTTCATCAGCATCAGATCAGCAGTCTCCCTTATTTCAGGATGTTCCCCTATTTTTGTTAAAATATATTTTATTGTGTTTTTTCTACTTCTGTACATGTTGTTGCAATCAGATGTTTATTATAGTATATACAATTGGTTTCATCTCATCCTATTCTAACTAATATGGTACCGATCTAATCTGTTCTATAAGTTCATCCAATCTGGTAGTCCAAAACTTCCTCTTTGTTTGTTGTCCTGGACAGCTTTGTGTTTTATTCTTGGCTTTTTTCCATCCTAGACAAGTTTACTGGTTATCTTGTTCAATTCCTTAAAGAAATCTTGTTTCAGTAATACTGGAATCATTCGAAAAAGGAAAATTAACTTTGGCAAAATATTTATTTTAATTGTCGTTATTCTACCCATTAAAGACAAGTGAATTTTAGACCATTTCTGTAAATCTGCTTTGACTCCTTCATTACTTTCATATAATTATCATTTATCAGTGTGCTTGTTTTCTTTCTCGTGTCGATTCCTAAGTACGTAACCTTGGATACTCCTTGGCATCCTGAGTGTATCTGCAACTCTTCTTTTTTGTCTTTTATCATGTTTTTAATCAAAATCTTTGTTTTTCATTTTTTTTACTTCAAGACCTGACATGAGTCCATCGTCTATTATTGTATCTACTAATATCTCTTTTGACTCCAGGAGATCTTCTAGGAATATTACTGAATCATCGATATGGCCTTGGATTTTGAATTCTTCTCCTTTGACCTTTAAGACTTTAATCCTCTTATCCTCTATAATTTGTTGATTCAGGACTTCTAACATCGGAATATACAGTAGAGGAGATAATGAACATCCTTGCCTTGTGCCCTTCTCAATTTGAATTATTTCGGTCAGCTCTCCATTTACTTTGATTCTTGATTCTTGTTTAGAATATATTGCTTTGATTTCTCCTATGAACTTTTCCCCAGCTTCCATTAATTGCAGATGTGTTGATAGAAAACTCCAATTCATGTTATCAAAGGCCTTCTCTGCATTAAAAAATATCAATGCCATCTGTTCTTCTGGGTGGCTTCATAACATTCCAAAACATTCAATACTATCCTAATGTTATTCTTCATTTGTCTTTTAGGTAGAAACCCTGATTAATCCTGATGAATAATCTGCACAAAATTTTTTCAGTCTAGTTGTTAATATTGTTGTGAAAATTTTATAATCTACATTCAATAATGAGATTGGTTGTCGCATTCCCCCAGTGTCCCCTGTTTGTTTTCATTCAAACACAGGTCCACCTTTGGACACGATGTACTATTTTCTCCCTTTACATGCTGCCACCAGTGGATCTTTATCCACACTGTACCAAATATGCTTCTTAGACTCGGGCTGCCAA